TTATCTCCTATGAAAGTCCCAATGCTGTAATACGCAAAACCATGACAGCATGACTCACTTTTTCGGTTTCCTTCTTAGCAGAATGAGTACCAACTCACCCTTAGCTCAACGTTTACGACGGAAGGCATGTTTTTAAAGACGGTCCCTAACGTGCCATTGGTACGACAGAAACCGCCGACGAAAGTGCTTCTTACCTTATTTGAGGATGGAGGGGAAGTACTTTGTTTCAGGCTGAGAGAATGGGATCAGGCTCATGCTATTTCGAATGGTACTTTTAGGGGAAAAAACAAATGGGCTCGAAATACTTTTTTTCTACCTTACAGGAGGCCATGTTGGAGAAGAGACCGGATATGACGTACTAGCGTGGCTAAAACTTCACCAGGAAGATTGTCAATTGCAGTGTGGGGCGCAGTTTCTCTTCATGTCTATTTTATACAGAAAACCAGTTTTCAAAACGGAATCTGATATATATGTGAAGGTTTATATGGGTAAGGGTTGTTTTTTTTTAACTGGCCAGCCTTGGGAATTCTCAGAGACTATCTAGAGGGAGCACAGACATAATAATAATTGCTTACACTTATATAGCGCTTTTCTGGACACTCAAAGTGCTTAACAGGTAATGGGGATCCCCTCCACCACCACCAGTGTGTAGCCCCAGCTGGATGATGCGATGGCAGCCATAGTGCACAAGTGCGCTCCCCACACACCTGCTAACATTGGGGAGGAGAACAGAGTGATGAAGCCAGTTCAGAGATGGGGATTATTAAGAGGCCATGATTGGTAGAGGCCAGGGGGAAATTTGGACAGGATGTCGGGGTTACACCCCTAATCTTTTCAAGAAACGCCCTGGGATTTTTAGAGAGTCAGGACCTCAGTTTTACACCCCATCCGAAGGACGGCGTCTTTTTACAGCGTAGTGTCCCCGTCACTATACTGGGGCATTAGGACCCACATAGACCGCAGGGGCAGCGCCCCCTGCTGGCCCCACTAACACACTAGCTTTCCCTCAACTTTAAGAAAAACGTGTCATTACTTCAACTTTTGGTGGTGTGTAAAAATCGTCAGATGGCCACTGGACCAGAAGGGAAATGGTGTGCTTTGCTCCTCTGGGCGTGACCTCGGCTTGTAGTTTGCAAACTGGTTTAATGAAAGCAGTCTGGTGTGAGAAAGTGCAGCAGTGACTCAGGTGGAAAAGTGAGGAGCCGCTTCCTCACTAGAACTAAGGGGGAGCTGTGGGAAGGCTGTATTGTGCCACCCCACAGTGTAATTCAGCCAGGGAGATGGGGGTTCACACCATAGAATGACCGAATGGGATGTTATGCTCCAGAAGGAAGGGCGCCACCTACTGGTCCAACAGTAGGTCTGAGGACCTCCACATTAAGCTACAGTGTGGTAAATATGAGCTGTATGAAAAACAGGAGCAGGCTTCACCCAACAAACCGCAATATATTTCTGTAATAGTTCAAACAATGGTGTGTATGTATTTGGAGTTCACTATACTTTAGTGTAATTTTCCAACGGGGCGAAAAACTATTAGGACTGAAGGAGTTTATTTTATCTTACCCACGTGTTACACTGGCAATTGATTGACACAGGTTGTCCTGTGCGCAAATAAGAAAGCCACAATTTTAAAATAATCTCATTAATTCAAATGATCAGATCAATAAAGTACTGTGTTCTCTCAACACTGTCGTTTACATATTCCGAAAAAGGAAGCGCTGTACTATATCCTAACCAACAGAGGGCACCAACGCAGAAACGAAGGCCGGAAAAACTTCGGGAAGGTTTGTAGCTGTCCATCATTTTATAGCTTATGTTTTCTCAAGGAGGAAAATGTATTTATATGCTTAATACAACAATTTCGCTGTCCATTTAAATTAAATTTAATTTATTTTCCATGTACTATTTTAATTTTCATGTATGTGAATATGAAAACTGTTCTTAGACGATTGAAGTCTCAAATATGCCTATTCCCGATGCAATGAATTGTGAAAGTGTAACTCCTGGAATGACTTGGTTGGCCAAGGAAGCTTGTTGCTGTGGCGGCTGTTGTTACACATGGAGACGTGCGGCTTTTATTTTGCGGCTGTAGGCTACAAAAATACGACGACTAAAAGCTGTTAAGCGGTGGATAAGCGCGAATAACTCTTTTTGTGGGGTTTACACAGGTACGTTTTACCATACGTATTATTTGTGTGGGTGGAGATGGGCTAAGAGGCAATACAGATGGGAGTGAACGGTAATTCATATTCCAGAGGGGTTTTGTATGCTGACGAACGTCGCTGGAAATAAAGACAAAATCAGACATATAACAACATTATGTTACCAGCGATTATTTAAACGAGATTATTTGTGATATTCTGTGCAGTGTGAATGGTTCTATTTAGAAATCGCTATGTAGTCGTGGTGGGCATAAGCATAGGTGAGCCAACGCGTACATATTGAATCACATGTTGTACAGCGGCTTTTACAAACAGCAGTGTTTAAGTGTAGACACAGGTTCGGTAGCGTCCTGTTTATTCCTCGTCTAAATCCTCTGAGCCTTTCCGACAAAAGACTTACCATAGCCTCTGCATGAATAATGCGAGATTTTGAAATCGATCATACAGTTATCACGTTCCTCCAGTTTATTTTCCTTCAAGGGAGTTTATCTGCTCAAAGTGGTCTTCAGTGGCATCAAGAATCCAGAAATTAAATCCAAATGCATAACATGCGCAAGGACCTTTATATTAACTTCAACGAATTATGCAGCTTTTTTAGTTTGTTTTTGATAATTATTGTTTTTTTTAGCTTCTTGCAAAAACAAAAGACGTTTGAAGTATTAGTGACAGTCAGACCGTAGCATTTAAACACGTATTTAACAGTTAGCTATCGCATTCCTTAAGGCATACAAAAAAGACCAGATTTCATTGACTTCAGATTAGGAGACAAATGAAAGGAAGCATTTGGACCATTGATTTTGTTTCTATACAGTCTTAATTTTGGTTCT